AGAGAGAGAGAGAGAGAGAGAGAGAGAGAGAGAGAGAGAGAGAGAGAGAGAGAGAGAGAGAGAGAGAGAGAGAAAGCGAAGCTACGTGGTTTGGGTCCCCTGGCGATAGCGGCCATAAACAGCTTGTATCTGCAAACATTTTCGTATAATAATAAAGAGTGTGGGATGCGATCTCATCTTCTTGCAATTGATTTGTGGTTTCGGTGTTGGTGTGAAACTTCTGCAGGTTGTCTGTGCTCTGCAAGTGGGTTTGGTGATTGATTGCAATTTTGTAAGGCCGTACCACTCCCAGGGCCCTGAGTGGTCTGCCCGGTCCTGGAAGAAATGGAAGTGGACGTCTTCTTGGTGTCCTTGCCTCGGTACTGAGAACCACCTCCCCTGCTAGCTGCTACCGTGTCTCCCTTGGCCAAGGAAGCAGCCAGGTCATCAAGTGTGGTGGGTTGTTGCTTGACAGCCATCACTTACTGCTGCTTGGACTGGAGCTTATGCTTCTCCACACAACAACACTGACAATCATTTGGAGCTGTCAAGTTGTCTGAATGGTCTGCGATGCCTTGTCAAAGAGGTCTTGTGCTGTCATGAGTGAGTCCGTGCTCTGTGTAATTGGTTGTTGAAGAGCTGGGCATTACCTCTTGATGAAGTTGCACTTGATGCCGGCAAAAGCCATAGGCAAGTTGGGGTGAAGACCAGTTGTTGATACTCCGCAGTCCAGTCTGCGTTGGGTAGTTGCTGAGTGAAGGTGATCAACTTCTCCATGTGGTGATCTCTCTCTGGTGGCTCAAACTGGAACAGCTTCTTCCAGGCTGCAGTGAGGTCGTCTGAACTCATCTTGCTGTGGTTTCTTTGATTAAAGATAACGGGGATAAAGGCAAACACACATAATGATAATTAGAAGTTCATGGTTTGGGTTGAAGATGAACGAGGAATTCATCTGGGAGCGCTTAGCAACTCTGGACTTAGTACCTGACCTGGGGCTGAATGCTAAATGCATGCAACTGTTTTTAAACCGATCCAGTATTCAGATTCTGTCAGAGACAAGAATTTTAGTGACTACCCTCCACCCCCGACCCGCTGATAACCACAGACCACACACCAGAAAAAAAAAAGAAAAGAAAAAAATATGCACTTGTATATGTAACAGAAAGGAAAGAGAAAAGTGTATCAAGGCAGAATGATAACTGCATGGGCAGAACCAGCTGCAACGGCAATCAGATACATCCAGGAAAGTCCTTCTATCAGTATGCCCTAGACTTTTCAGCTACCCCAAGTATGTTGTGAATACACTCCCACAAGAAGGGTCAGAACGATCTTCACATTTTTCGGAGTGCCAGCCCCTAGCCATCTGAGAGATTGGGTGTAAAGGGAAGGTTTGCAACTTTGCAGGGGTCATTATTATCCGTGAGGGTTGGCAACTTGGCATGCATGGCACTGATTTGTTCAGTGGTCACTTTTCGGTGTTTGGCATTGCAGGGGAGTTGAGAATCACGGGTATGCCTCCAACAGGGGGAGACAGTAGCATTGAGCCATTGCTTGTGAGCTCTTGTACTAAAGTCAGTGGGAGAGTGATGGACTCCCTGCACTTTTCGGACAATGATCTTAAGCCTTTGCAAGTAGGTGCAACTTCCAGACATGAGACCTTTCCACACTCTCTCTCATACACACACTCACAGATCCAGACTTGTTTCCTGAAGCTTTCAGGGTTCTTGTCAGGGGTCTGAACTAAACTGTTTGCGAGGATTGCAAGGTTGGTGTCAGCAAGCTTGACTCCTTCGCTCAAGGGTATCACCAACTGCAGGCGAGGTGCTGCATTTGAAAACATGAGTCAAATGCGTCTGGGACAGACTGCCACCTCCTGGTGACTGTGGAAGTCCGACAAAATGGTCTGTCTTGGTCATGTTTTGTCTATGGAGTTGTGTTTACACGCGAGTGCGTGAACACGCACACAAACACCCATACAGTCTTGTTAGAGACTTTCTGTAGTTGTTGTGGGCCTGGCTGAATGCTTTGTTCCTTGTTTTCTGGTGGATGTGAGTTTCTGTTTGGCCACAATATTTTCACCTTGGCACAGACAGTGTTTGTTGTGGGTGTGATTCCCACGAGATGCTGATTGGAGCCTGAGGACATGGAAAAGGGTGGTCTCTACGGTGCGCTCAACAGTGGCGTTACTGGTGTCGTGGGAGAGCCTCGTGGCATCAGGCCTGACTTGTGGAGTTCTTGCAAATGGGCGCAGTGGGCTTTTATTGCCGGTGAGGTATCCTTGGGCTGAGTTCGTTGGCCTCTTTGGGGGGTCTGCAGTGCTATAGCTGGTGGAGCTCCTGGTGGCGCTTGAACCTTCCATCCATGCATGCTGTTTCTTTTGCCAGTGCCGGAAGCGGCGGCCCGTACATACTAGCATGGTAGGGCAGTCAGACCCTCGTTGAAAAAGGGAATGATCACATGAACTGATTTGTGACCTCTGTTGTTGGGTGCAGGTTGGTTCTCTCCTGCCTAACTCCCTTCTTTCAAAAGATATGCAGGTGTGCCTTTAAGTCAGATGGGTGTGTGCCACCTGTTGCATAAATGTGGCTAGCCTTGCACTCTTCTTAATCTGTGTGGAGTTGTGGTGGATCTGTTGTTGATATTAGATGTTTTGCAAAACACACACACACAGACATTTCATGCCAGTATCGGCAAGTCTGTTGTACCAGCGAGTATTCAGGAAATGATGGGGTCCTTTTCCCTGTCCTTTCTTTCCCTCTTTTTCCCTTCATTTTCCCCCCACTTCCTTCCCCTTTTCTCCCCTCCTCTTCCTCGTGCAGAGCTGCTGAATCCATCTTAATGAGCATCACTAATAGAACCGATATAAGGCAACTGGGTATGTAGGCATCCAGCACCCAAGTACACAAACGTGGCTGGCCTTGCACCCCTCAAATTGGAAGAGTGGGATGACCATTTCACCAAAACATCACAATCATTCACAGATTTCCACATGTTAAGACTGTTCCAATTATGATATCGTTGCATCCGGATGGAAAAGAGGTAGCTTTAGTAATTTTTCAGAGCACACACACATGGTTTCTATTTCCATATGGTCTCGTTTGGAATCTAAATGAATACATGGTTATCTTTCTATTGTGGTGGAGGTCGCTGCTACTATACCTTTTATCGTGTTCTATTAGTGAACACTACAGTTGAGTACCCCTGTCCTTTCTGCCATAGAGTCCACTTACAGAGGCTCAGACAGCGTTTGCTGTGAGTTTCAATTTCCCAAGGGCTGTCTGTTTTGGAGCATATGATTTGAGTGCTACCACGGTGTTTTAGGCAGTGCTGCTCCTGTTGTTGGGCTTTCGTGGCATGGGCCTGGTTTCATATTCACACCTGGTCCCCTGGGCTGGTAGTTGGACTCCGGTAGTCCAAGCTGCAGGTGAAGTTCCCTTGGGCTGTGCCTTTCATAGCGCATGGCTCAATAGGGGCGCAAGCCTCAAGGTGCTTTAGACAGTAGACCTTATGTGGTCACAAGCATCTCTCAGTCCTGGATACGTTATTGGACCAGGTTGTTTTTTTTTGTGGTATGCACGGCTCCCACACGGGCCCCTGCAGGGCCCGACATTGGGATAGGAGCTTAGATTAGGAGTTTGGGGGTGTTTGTTCTTTTTTTGGGTCCATCTGCATATTTTCTGAGCTCTTTTTCCGTTGTTGTTCTTAGTCACTTGTCCGCTCTCTGTTCATTTGTTTCTTTCGGGTTTGTCCGGTCTGGACGTGATGTTCCAGCTATTTTGTCCAGACTGCTTGTAGCATGCTGAGGCCTCTACACAAGCCCCCTTTCGGAGGACCGGCCGTTCATTTTGGGCCCCAGGTCGCACACTCATTCGGAATGGGCCACCTGACAGGCTATGACCATTTTCCAGGCCCGGACACACGTTTGGTCCAGTCAGTCTTTTCCTTTGTTCAGCATTTATTTATTTATTTATTATTTGCTGAGGTCTGTCTGGTCCGATTTTGTTTGTCCCCGATGTTTCGTATTGGACTTTCTGTTGTCCGAACAGACCGGTGTCTGTTTGGACCAGTGGGCCACATTTCGGTCGAGGTAGGCCAGGGGTCAGTAGGTCCCAGGCAGGACTGGGACCATGCGGTCTTCTTTTTGTGCCTGGCCCAGTCGACAGGTTCCTGCAGTACCTGCAGAGGGCCTGGATGTCTGGTAGGGACCCAGGCAGTCTGTTGGTTCACCCTGTTCATAGGACCAGGACTTGGGTCTGTAATCAGGACCCGCCGATCGGATGGTAGAATGGAGATCCCTGGTCGCAGACCACGGACCATCAGCCAGGCCCAGTGGTATATAGCTGCACCAGTGCTCCAGTTCTGGAAGTTCGGATGGACCTCAGTTTGGGCGTCACGGTGCCAGAGCAGCTCTAGACAGTGAGGAGCTGTGCTAGAGTCGAGGTAGTGGAGTAGGAGCAGATAGTGGGAGCGCGGAGGCTGGTGAGCCACAGCCACGAGATGATGGGTGACTTACCTGGGCGCCATAGCTGGACCTCGCTGCATTGACCTGCATCAGGGAGCCACCACTTACGCTGGTCAGTATACATGGGCATCAGCAGTATCAGGTGAGGGAGGCAGAGGAGAGTCCTCTCTGATCGTTCTCCAGCCTCCTTAGTCACTATTCTTTTGCTTCTTCTTCTTCTGTGTGTGTGTGTGTGTGTGTGTGTGTGTGTGTGTGTGTGTGTGTGTGTGTGTGTGTGTGTGTGTGTGTGNGAGAGAGAGAGAGAGAGAGAGAGAGAGAGAGAGAGAGAGAGAGAGAGAGAGAGAGAGAGACATGCCCGGTTGGGCAATGTATAGGGAGCCAAGGATCCGCAAAGTGATGAAAACGACTCAAATGGACAGCAAAGCATCAACAAGCAATGTTCATCCAGATACATACAAAAATAGCAAAATGTAGCGCAGCGGAAGACTCAAAGATATGACCTGACCTATCTGATACTGATGCGACATCCCATCGTACACCACACATGCAAGAGATGGAGGAGGGACCACATACACAGGCGAAAGGTCCCTCCTTGCACACGCACATGGGGGGAGATACCATGGATGAGAGATGGGGGGAGAGGCGAGACGAAGATGGAGGCGAGGGAGAAGACCAAGATTGCGATAGCGAAGTCCAAAAATAGTCCCCTGCCGAATGTCCACTCAACGTCTGCCGCAAAAATGTCGGATTAGATCCTGGGCACAATGCCCGATGTAACCTCTGCCAGTAATCTCTCTCTCTGTCTCTCTCTCTCTCTCTCTGAAAGAAGAAGAAGAAGAAGAAGAAGAAGAAGAAGAAGAAGAAGAAGAAGAAGAAGAAGAAGAAGAGGAGGAGGAGGAAGAAGAAGACAAAGGTAGGAGGGAGGAGAGATGGAGGCGAAGAAGAAGAAGAAGACGTCGTTTTGGACTTGCAGGCGCCGAGGAGGCAGGGCCTTCTGGGCCAAGGAAGAAGAAGAGGTCCCAGCCCAAGGCACGGCCTTGGGGCCTGCAAGTTCGAAACGATGTCTGAACAGACAAAAATAAGCTAGCAAACAAATAAATAAATAAATGAATAAAGCCTTAACTCGAATCCTGCGGCCTAAGGGCCGCCATGGGCCTCTTGGGGGCTCGCCTGAAGGGCACGCGGCCTGGGGGCCTCGCAGCAACCATCGGTCCCCTGACATGGGGCCCTCCGTGTGCAGGCTCAGCATGTAACCCCCCCCCTCCTTACGAAGTCAAGCCGGGGCAAGGGCGAAGCTGAAGATCCGATGGTGGAACCTGAACGCAAGTACGTCGTGGAGCCGAAGGTACCGACTTGCCTTGTAGCTTGGGTTCGTAACGTGTGAGAATGTCGGGGGCTGTTGCTTGAAGTTCCGCACGGGTCAACCCACGGTCGGCCTTATGGCTGCAATAGGAAAAATGTACCAGTACTCTGTCGGCTTGTTGTCGTGGTGTTGCTGGGAGATAATGTCGCCAACCTCCTGAAAACCGTCCATGGAGGGTGGGTCTACTGATCGTCGCTCGGGAAAGTCGTCGTGTTCCGCCGAAACGAACAGAGCTAACTTAGAACAGTGAAACACCGGGTAGACGTGCAAGTGGGCGGGCACCTGAATAACAAATGAAGGTCCTTGGGGTGCATCCCCGACGGGTACCACAATGGGCCAAGGCCCCATCCATTTCTGAAGGAGCTTGCGAGAGTTATCTTGTTCGAGGCTGAATTCTGTGGAGGAGACCGAAACGAGATCGCTGGCGCGGAATGGACAAGGAAGACGATGGTGATTGGCCTGTTGGCTCATACGTTGCTGCGTCTTCAACATCTGGTCGCGTGCCTTGACAAGTAGCTCTTGCATCCAACGAATGAAGAGAAGGTGGTCGTCGCTCTCGGCCTCCCGTGGGATAATCGTGTCCAACGGAGAAGTGACTGGCGAGCCATGCTCAAACTTAAAGGGCGGCATCCCAATAGTCGGATGAATGGACGAGTTGTATGCCAACTCGACATCTGGCAGCCTCTCAACCAAATCCTTTTGGTTGGGACGGATGAGAGTGCGAAGAAGAACATGTGCGGTCTGATGCGCCCGCTCCGTTTGGCCATCGGTTTGTGGGTGGGTGAGCCGAACTCGGCTTGAGAGAT